ATCTCTTTTCCAGTTACTCAGCAATGGGGGAAAAATACACATTTTTTTTTTTATTTTTACTTAAAGAACGAGTTTGATGCAGCAGTGCAAGGGTGTTACCTCTTCATGGGTTTTGTTTGTTTGTTTGTTTTTCTTTCCATGGAATCACAGATTCATAGAATGGTTTTTGTTGGAAAGGACCTTAAAAATCATCTAGATTCAATCCCTCTGCCATGGGCAGGGATGCCACTCACTCGATCAGGTTGCTCAGGGTCTGTCCAGCCTGGCCTTGAATGCTTCCAGGGATGGGGCATCCGCAACTTCTGGGCAACACATTCCACTGCCTCACTATCCTCACAATAAAGAACTTCTTCCTAATATCTAACCAAAAATCTCTCCTCTTTTAGTTTAAAGCTGTTCCCCCTTATCCTATCACTGTAAGAGTGAGAAAAACCCCAACCTTTAGGTAAAAATTATGATGACTCAGCTTTTTCATGAGCTGGGACGTAATTCACCCCAACAACTACATCCCATCCTGGCAGCTGTTAGTAAAATATAATTGTTTAATAAAAAAGCCTAATAATATGTGTTGCAATATAACTTCCTTATATTTACTTCTACTTCCTAAAATTTGCATTGCTGTTTCATCAAATCCGCTCTTGTATCAAACCTAAAGATTGCTTACAAGTGAAAGTCTTGATTTGCATCCATGCAAAGGAGAGATCTTGAAAAAATCCCGGGTTGTGTTTACTGCTGTCTTTGGATGAGGATACAAGCATCCAAAGTAAATACAGAGGCCACAGAGACCTATGTTATCTCTGTGGGAGACTACCCAGAGTCTAATGACCTGGGGCCACAGGATCCAGACTCCCTGTGCTTGCTGCAAATATTCTGTTTTGGGACCTGAAGCAATGCAGTGGTGCTTGCACCATACTAAGGGAGTAAGCAGCTTTGTGGAGGTCGGTGCCATGTGGTCACAGTGCTCTTTGGTCAGGCTTCCTGCTGATCCTGGCCCCCATCAATGCTTCTCACACCAATTGGATGCAAGGACATCTGAAGGCAGGGGCAGTGTCTGCTGGAGGCTGCTCAGCTGATCCCTTGCTTTATGCCAGTCATTCATTTAAGTTAAAAACATTTTAATGAGCCATTCTCAGTAGTTTCAGCTGGGAGGGCATCAGATCATATGCAGGCAGCAGATAATCTGGACACCACATAAGTACCCATGGAGGAATCATGGAAATTGGTGGTCCAAAAGGAAATAAGACCTGCTTGGTGGATGACAGCTGGCAATAAATCACTGCAAATTTGAGCTGGGAGAGCATGGGGTAAGGGATATTTCTGCACAGTCCTGGTGTGGAGGGGTCTCCTGCAGTACCGTTCTGTGGCTCTTGGTCTTTGGTATCTAAATCATCTGTGAAGGTTGTTCAAGAGCTCCTAAGTCATTCAGATGTTTGAGAAATGTTATCCTGTATAGCTTTCTGGATGCAGTCTCTAATGGGCTACAGTAGGGCATCTGTGTCCCTCAAGGATTTTAAAAGTTGGAACAAAACCCAGAAAATAATCATTTAGGGCTCCAAAATAATTCTTCACAAGAAAAAATAGCTGCAGGTTAATGTGGGAGAAAGAGAAACCAAGCCAGTGGTAGGTCCAGATCAGCCATGAACAAAAGTGCTACGTATCAGGTGGTGATATATCCAGAACAGTGCTATACCTATTCATCTCCACTTTGGTGTAGGTATGGCTGCAGCTCATATTAGGGCTAACTGCACGTGTGGGGAGTGTGGCGATGCACCCTGGTGTGTCTGTGTTGTGTCCAGAGGGAATAAATGTGTGTCCCCCTGCTTTCTAGGGGGCTGTAGTCTGGGTAGTGGAGCTCCATCTCATATGAAGGTGGGGTGGGTGTGTGTGTGTGTTAGCTGTGGTTATTTGTGTAGCTATTGTGCTGGCATGCATCACGCCGGTTTAGAGAAAATACATTTCTATCAGGTAACATGTTTTTCCTTACACAGAGGGAGATATGAGCAGCAGAATTACCGGTCGCTGTGGCCCTGTAATGTCCTCTTAACCATACAAATCATCCACCACCTATCTAGTTAAGGACTGGCTTTTCATAAAGTACTCTTACAAGCAAAGTTTTGAAATTATTAAAAGTGTGCTGGTGTAGTATTTTAAAAAGTGATAATTTAATTTGCATATATTGTCTAAGTACTGTGTGTGTATATGTGTGTGTGTGTGTCTGTATTTAAGAACATATAAATGAAATTAAAAAACAAGAACAATCTTTGCTGCAACGTTTTCCACAGACTTGAAAGCCTTCAGCCAGTGTCTCAGCCCCTATAAATTGGCACGAACTCCAGTATCTTAAAGCTGTGCTAGTTTATGTGACCCAAGGAGATGACTTCCAGGATTTGTGGGACCACTGTGTAAATACCAGAGTCTTTAACCTGCCAGGGTCAAAATAAATAATGCTTTTGGTACAGTCCTGGCTCCATGCTTATATGTCACTGCTTGATTTAAGCAGCATCGTGTGAAGCAGCAGCAGTGGAGGGGGAGCCTTCAGCAGCTCTGCACTTCTCCCTAGCAAACCCGCCACCTGGGTTTTGCCATTTTTGTCTTGCAGATGAAGAAACTGATAAAGAGAGAAGCTGTCTCCTCACTGCATGCTAAAAAATGCACTTATTTTTTTGGTGGACAAAAGAGGCAGTGGCAGGGGCTTTTCAGTACTCAGTAGGGGGGCAAACACTTCTGGGGAATCTCTAGCATGACAAGAAAACTTTGTTTCTCCAAGCCCCTCACTTGCCTTTGGAGTGACACAGAAGGAGGCGGAGAAACACAGAACGGCAGCAACAATACAATGTTCATGTATTGTCTAAGTCCTCCAGAGGCTAAGCGTGAAGGGGTGAGGTGCTGCTCTTGCAGTGCTGCAGCCCGCCCGCTGTGCCCACACAGATGTTTCCTTAGGGTCAGGACAAACAAATAATCCCCACCAGCTCTACCTGTGCAATTGTGCCCATCTGCAATGGGTGGGTGGATGGACACACAGGGACAGAACTGAGCAGGCTAAATTGTTAGGAATGTAAATGCCTGAAGAATGGGCTTTATGTTTTCACCTGAGATAAAAGAGGCACTGATGAATCCAAACCTTGAGAGCTGAGAATTGGCAAAAGGTGCCAATCTGAGCTTTATCCAGAGGAAAACAGGCAGCAATCTGAGGTGCCTGGGATGTTCCTGGCAGCAGTAGCAGAGGCACAGAGCCGTTCCTCCCCGCAGCAGGTTTGCTGTACCAGCAGGCATATCTGCAGGCTGCTATCATTGTAAACCTCCAGCTATTTTCATTTCATCAAAACAAATATGAAGTTTGCTTCTAAACAGACTCTAAAAGAGTTTTGGGCTTTCTTTAACACGGGAAAGATGCAGTGAGCCAAGCCCTGTGTCCTGTGCCTGTGTAGGTAAGGCGTGTGGAGAGACACTGGGAAAGGCTGAGGAGCAATTGCTAGGGAGCTGGGTTGAAGCTGAGCGAACAGCTGGACGTGAGCCTGTGTCACCAGCATTAAGTTAGCAGGATGGCTGCAAGAATGAGGGCCTAAGGCACACAAATCCAGCCAGGTCTCTCTTCTGAAGGGGATGGAGCTTCGACAGCACTTTGGCTGTCAGTGACAGTAGCAGAGCAGGTGCCGTCAACAGCCAAGGAGAGCAGAAACAGGCAGGTGTGTTGCAGGCAAGCTTTGTCTAACCTCAGCTGCCTCCAAGATCTGTAAATGCCCTGTGGGAGCTAATCAGCCTCCCAAGCCCCCAGTCTTCTTAATTTTACTGATTCAAAAGAAGCCTCAGGCTCCTTAAGGAGCTGCAGCTGAGGAGACTCCCATGTAACTCAGCTGGCTGAACGGGCCCCGTAAAACCTACTCACTCCCCCAGGTACCCCCAAAGGATGTTTTCCAAGTGTGGTAGAAATAGACATTTCTATATTTCTGTCTTTGCATTTGCTCCAATTCCCCCATATTTTTAAAGGAGGAAACATGGCAGAAGGGGATGGCTACAGGGCAGTCAGCGCTCTCCACCAGAGATTTGGCAGCAGAAATCCCAACAAGGAGAAGCCAACAGAACTTACAGTAGAGACAACAGACTTTCCTTCTAGCTTCCCAGAGGGGCCCTGCTACTTCTGATGCCAAAGGTTAGGGGACTTCAGGTTTTATTTATTTACAGTGATCCTAATTTGCATGTGCAGGAACAGGATAGCTGGTGAGGCTGTTAAGTTTCTGCCACAGGGATGTGTTGGACTGCTCAGGATAAAGACACATCCCCCCAGCTGTGCCTCTGAGTCTTCTCCTCTGGGCCTTCCCATTGCCTGCAGCTCTGCCAGGAGGCTGTAGGATGTTCCTGTAGTAAATCTAGAAATCTGTCTGGTGGACAAAGCACCAGGCACCTGAGAAGACCTTCTATGGCTTGTTCACAGCCGACCTGTGGTGATTGCCACAGACAGGCAGACACCTTGGGATCCTGAAAAAAAAACTGTTTAAAAAGATGAGATGCTTTCATTTCTGACAACCAGAACACTTTTCACTGCAGAGCAGCTACCCACAGCTCCTGCAGAGCTCAGGCAGTCTCCATAAATCCACACACTAGCTTATCCTAATACCCTGCTCAAGTAACTCAGCCCGAGTCTACTCCTTGCAGCTGCGCATCCAGCTCCAGTAATAAATTTCTAATCCCAGTGAAATCCAGCTGATGCAGGTCTTGCTGCAGAGAGGCCCCACTACAAAGTCTGGGTGTTTCAATGGGCATCAGCCCCATTAATGTGAGCTTCTGACACCATAACGCTGCAACATGCATTTCTAGATAAAATTCACCTTGGGACGTATTTGCATTGCTGAGCAAGCTAAATCCAAGTTCTACAAATACCACATCTTATCAGGGCCATTTTCTTTATCAATCTTATTGCAAATTAACTTGATTCTATGGACTCCTGGAGCATGAAGCCACATCCAGCTAAGTCTTAGAAGCTGAAAACTAAAGGAGAGGCAGCTGTTTCTCTCTGCAGTATTCATGAGGTAATAATAGTAACAATAAGGGGAAGGACAATAGAGCAGTTTCATTGTGATATTTTTTAGAAAGTAAGGATTCCATTGAACATAAAATGATAATTGATTTTAGGCACTTTGATGGACTAATGTTTGATTCTAATGGAGTCATTTTCTGAGAAGAACAGAAAAAGCTGTGTCAAGAGGAAACAACCCTCACTTTGTATAGAGACATGTTGCTGAGTAGCACTGCTGGAGTCCTTTATTTAAACAGGAATGATTATATTGCACAGGAAACTTGGATTTGAAAGTGGTTCCTCTGATACATTCCTCTTCAGGAGTAATTATCTGCTGCATTCACCAAAGCCTGAAGGCTGGTCTCGTATGGCAGCAGATCATCTGCTTTATGGCTAAAATTAAAACAAAGGGAGAGGAAACAAACAAGAAAGGATGTAAAACTCCAAAGTGCCAGGTCTAAAAGAAAGTCCTTTCCACCAAGAAGTGGTGAATCACCTTTTAGAATGAACATCTGATGTAAATGGAGGTGAGAGGCAAATAAGAGGATAATTATACTGCACTTAGTTTCCACCAGCTGGCTCCTCACTGCATGATGTCCCCTTGCTGCTCTACACCTTCTGCTTTCCATTGGGTTTCCACCATACCCATGAGCTCTCATCAAAACCTTTCCTGTGGACAGCATTTACTGGGAGAGACTGGAAAATTTCTCTGGCCAAATAATTATAATCAGGGAGCTGCTTCTGCTGCTGAAGTGGGGATTTGTTTGCAGCCAGCCTGGATTGCAGCCAGCTCCGTCTCTCTTCTCCCTGACCATAAAATGTTGGACAGAGCAGGTGAGACATTGCTTGCATGAGAGTCAGATACTCTCCATGAAGGTTTAGACCACTCTACCTTCCATGCAAAACAAATCCATAATTAAACAATGCTTTAAATTCTTAGACTGTTGTGGTTTCCTGCTTTAGCAATGAAGTCCATCTGGTCATTCCTACTTTAAGTGACTCACATAGGCTTTCATAACCTTGCAAGGAACTTCTCTGTGTACTCAAGTGCAGCATGGCTCTTAATTTGGATCTAAGGGTCTCCTAAGAAAGACCAGCAGAATCAGGCCTCTGTCCACAAATTAGGACAGGATTGGCTAATGCTTTACTCATAAGTAGCAAGAGGACATTTTCCCCCTGAAGTTTCTTTAAACAGTAAAGGATTCATATTAATGTACATATGTAGTGGTGGGGAAAGGTATTTGATTACTGTAAAAGAGGTCACTTACAAATCATCTCCTCACCTTTCAGGCAGTGTGCTCAGTCTGTGATGGCAAGATAAATCAATTCATTGCACCTGTTAAAGCGCTGCAATGGTGCAAGGACCACGACGTGCTCCTCAACCATATGATGGTATAAAAGCCTATGTCATTTCTAGAATGAAAGGAAGAAAAGGGGAACAAGATGCTTTAAAAAAAGCAACCACTCAGACAAAAATAAAGGCAGAGAAGCTGGCAGGTGGCATGGGGTTCCCATGATGCATATATGCTTAGAAGAGAAGCTCGGGGGAAAGACAGAGCAAGAAAGATCTGGAGGCAGGAATGTGAATGCATGGCACCTTGCTGTGTGCCCCAGCTTGATGGAGGGCTCACATTAGGCATTTCCATAGGGAGCAGGGCTGGAAAGGCTTCAGAAGAGGGAATCCTGCCTAGAAGTTGAATGTTGTTGTCCTCCAGCAAAGCCTCAGTCACGCTCTCTCTCCATTTGCTTATACAGGAAGCCTGCGGCTGAATGCAAAAGGCCTGAATTTTGTGTGGTAGTAGCATATTTCTGTTCTGCCTGCACACAGAAAAGGATGCTCAGAAGAAAACTACTGTCACTGTTCAGGCAATCCATACTGTGCTACATCTGACAGAGTGGCTGCAAGTAAGAAAGGCCAAGTTGGCTGACAATTGGATTTAATTTGGTTTCATTTGCTTTATAGGCTCTCTGTATAGAATCATAGAATGGCTTGGGCTGGAAGGGATCTTTAAAGGTCATGTAGTTCAAACCCCTTCCATGGGCAGGGACATCTTCAACTTGACTAGGTTGCTCAGAGCCCTGTTCAACCTGGCCTTGAATGTTTCCAGAGATGGGGCATCTACAACTTCTCTAGGCAACCTGTTCCAGTTTTTTGTTACCCTCACTGTAAAAACTTCTGTTTTATATCTAATATAAATCTACCCTCTTTTAGTTTAAGACCATTACACCTTGGTCTTTAGTTTAAGACCATTGGAAGAGGCCCTGCTAATATGTCTGTCCCCATCTTTCTTATGGGCCTCCTTTAGGTACTGAAAGGCTGCTAGGAGGTCTCCCTGGAGCCTTCTCTTCTCCAGCTGAACAGCCCCAACTCTCTTAGCCTGTCTTCACAGGAGAGGTGCTCCAGCCCTCTGATGATCTTCGTGGCCCTCCCTTGGACTCATTCCAACAGGTCCACATCCTTCTTTTGTTGGGGACCCCAGAGTGATCAATCCAACAAATAAGTTGGGGAGAAAAACAACAAACAAAAGGCGCCCTACATACCTGCAACTCCAAATAAAACTGGATTTGAGTAAGTCCAGCCTCTCCCATGATTGAGTTAAAAGGAAATAAAATAAAAAGTCCACGGGCCACAGCAGGATTTTCCAGCATGCTTCTACTGCTGCCCATAAGCACTTACCATGGATTCCGAGATGACAGATGAGGAACAGACAGTACCATCAACCCAGGGACTTACTCCAGTGATTGATCTTAGGAAGTTCAGACCCTTGAAGGACAGCACTGATTTTCTATGAGAAGAGTTCAACTTCATTTATTTCCTCTAGAACGAGTATAAAGTAATCACTTTTAAGGTCAATAGAAAGGCAAAATGCTTTCTATCCCATCCTGTAGTTAGAAAGTCTACTGAGATCTGCTTAAGGCTGACCACTTTTTTTCCATGTGAATCCTCATTTACTTGTACTTGCTTATGTAGCTTGTCCTTTGAGCACATTTGACTTAAGGACACAAAATGGGACTCTTGCCTTTCATCATTTATCTTAAACCTAGAAATGAACATGTAGGCTCTACCTAACGCCTGTTCAGGGACAGCTTGTTATCAAGACTCAGAGAAATTAAACCAACCTAGCTAAATTGAATAGACTAAGGTACAGTCATTTCACATGTTAAACAGAACAATTTATTTGCATACAGGGACAGTCTATCCCATTGCAACTGCATTCAACCTAAGTTATACTGACAACATCACACCTTCATTGGCATAATAATTGAATTAAGCCCATGTGAAGGTTAAGCCTGAAGAAATACTGCATGCTAAAGTGTTACCATATTTCTTCATTTCTCCCTACAACATGGTAACAGATAACAGTTTGAATTCCTGTTGTCAATTTGCACAAGTTTCTCAAGAATTCTATGAACTCTTTTAATTTTACTTCCATGAGCACAGGGGCACATTAGGTGACATGAAAAAAAATTCTGAGTATATGGTAGGAGAGAAAAAGCTTAAATATGCAAGCTGAACGTACTCCAAATATCTACAGAGAAAAGCAGGGTTTTTAACTACTAGATCATCTAAGCCAGTCTCATGATTCTATGATTTCTTGTGCATGACAGTGTTTTAAAATCTATCAGAACCATTGTTTTTTGTGAAAACAGGTGGGATTCGTTGACTGAACCCATCTAAAGTGTTGTAGAGTATCTGAGACACATGCATGGGGCTGGCAGTCTTGGGTTAACATACCCATACAGACCTGTGTTGCTCCATAGCAGCAGCTCTAGCCAAGTGGGTACTCTGCAGTGTCTGATTTGGGACTTGACACCTACAGAGAGAAAGCTGGATCCCACCCTAACAGCTTTCCAAGTGTGAAAAACTTGCTCGCTCGCAGTCCCGAGCTGTGCTGTCAGCTACCAACTTTAGTATCTCTGAATGTGCTCCACTGGCATTCAGTGGGATGGCTACAACCGTAAAATAAGGAAGTAAAAGCACTTCCTCCATTTTACCCCTGTATGAAAAAGAGAGGCAGTCATGGCAAATGCAAACACAGCTCCAGGCAAAGACATGCACCTGCACGACCAGCCCTTAGGGGCTTGTTCCTACAAGGTGAACCTCACACTGCTGTGGTCACCCTCGTCACCACCGCATCTATTTGGTCTGGTGACCCTCTGAGGAACCACCCACCATGCAGGCCACACCCTGACTGTTTTGTGACAATTAAGACTAAGGAGGACACTCACCAGAATTTGTTTTCCTTAAAAGTAGTATCCAAATCCAGCTCTTTGAAGATGAGAGGAGCAGGGCGTCTTTCCTGTAGTGATTTTCCTAAATCATAAAGCCAAGTGTCTTTTCCTCACATTGTAAGAAGCTGTGGTGGAAAATAATGCAACTGCAACCCAGCATTGTATAAGCAGCTCACACTGATATCTTCCTTTCACATTTCCTAGTGTTGAGTTTTTTCCCTGCTACAGCAGAAGGTATTTTCATGTAATGAAACGTGTCATTTATTTTGTACAATTTCTATGGTTTCTATAATTACAGAATTAGAAGAATAACAATTTATAAGACATTTCCATAATTTATTCATTCACAGATATATTCCGTACCTATTTGCTCAGTACATTACATACCAGCAATAGTAACTGCTTTAATGCAACAGCCGAGATGATTTTGCTCTCACATACTCCCACTCCAGCAATAAACATCATCTTGACCCATGAAAAAGCCTCCAGAACTGTAAATTACAGGACATTAAAAAGGCAGGCTACTGGACAATAGGCTTGGCTAGAGAACTGACTGCAGGCATAAAGAGCATGGTATGCTCAGATGACCATATGATCAGATGCCAAGGAAGATTTTTAGCAATTCCAGACAAGGTATTTTTTTGGGTCCCATGAATTCATGTAATAAATGTTACTAGCAGAAGATTCAATGCCCACACTGTTGAGCAGCCTTGCCCTCAAGCATTTTTTTCTGTCATCACCCACAGTATAGAAATGTTGGGTTGTTTCTGGGCTCTCTTCTGGAGTGAAGCAACTCTTTCTGAAACAAAACCCAGGTGCTGTTTCGGTAACTTGCTCAAGATTCACTCCCAAAATGAAGCATGAACAAGACTCAACCAGTTTGGCTTCCTTTGCTTCCTTCCTCCCAGCAGGCTCCGATCCCTCAAATGTCACATCCCCTTTTGTTTCATGCTATTAATTCCAGTGGACTGCAAAAACACCCCAGACATCAGATTACTTCAGACTCTTGAACTGACAACCAAGAAAAACAGAAAATAATGTCTTATGGTCATGGCTCCACCACATGGGGCCAGGGGAGATGCAGGGCCAAGTGCTGTGAGTGTGGACCTGTCCAGTCTGCTCCAGTGACAGCTGATGTTGAGCAATGTGACACTGCTGCAGCCCTCGGCCTGGAGTGAGGAACTGCTCCCTGCAAGGGAGCAGCTTTTGGCACCAAAGCTCTGGCCACAGACTGTCCATGAGGACATGTGTGGCAGGGGTACAACCAAAGGTTTCAGAAGGCTTTTCTCTAGAAATATCTTGCTGCATTTTGGAAACCCTGACGTTATCTGAAGGGGGTATGCTCTGCACACGGAGAGGTACAGACTTTGCGGGTTTGGTGTGGCTCCTGAAAGCTCGTGGCTCCCATGAGCACTTCTCCACTGCCAAAGAAGTGCCAAAGTTGACAAGAAACAAAACAGCTTTTAGACAAGAAAACTGACATATCCTGACCCTTCTTGGCAGCTGACAACTGTCCAGGGTGGGGTTTAACATAAGAAAGCATGAATAGACAGGCTTCCCGCTCCTGAGTCATTAGGAGTTGAATTTTAATCATTTGCTGCTTCTACTCTACAATGCCCTTGCAGCCCTCTAATGCTCCAGTCCTTCCTTGTCCCTGCAAGTCATCCTGTTTCTCCTCTCCATCCCACACGCTCGTTCTCAGCAGGCTTCTGGCTCAGTACGTCTGTGATACATCCAAATAAATGGGTTGACCTGGTGGTTTTCCACATCACTTGTGACCTTGGACTCCTTTCCAACCAGTCTCATGCTTATGAAATGTAGGTAACTTTATGACACAAACTCTTGTTGATTCTGTTGAATTGTATTTCCTTTCTCTAAAGCATTTAAAAAAATACACAAGAGAAGGCAGTGTAAAGAAATCACAGAGCTGCAAGCCAGAGGTTTTAATCCCTCCTCTGTCACTAGCTTGCCATGTGATCTCTGCCCTTGGGCACACAACTCCTCTGTGATGCTGCTCTCTCCTGAGGAACTAGCAGGTAACAGGGGATTATTTGTTGGTGTAATACTCTCCAAGATGTAGGAAAGAAGATGCAGAGGATGTGGCGCCAAAAAAATCCCCCAGTAGTGAGGCAAGTGTGAGCCACACCGGTGAGATAACCACTGCCTGCCTGCACCCCAGCACTAGCCCGTGGGCAGAAAGGGCACAAAACGACTGTCTGAGGCTGAAGCCGTGCAGCATGGCATCCTTGGCACACCATCTCTGGCAGGATAAGGGTATATGCTCCTTCATGCAGCATCTGCATGTGTCCTGAACCCAGGGACTACACTTAAGGATTTGTTACTTGAACACGCTATTAATAATATAATGGCCAGTCTTCGCGAGCAAAGATTTGGGAAAGGTCATTAACCCTTTGAGCCTGCGCAGTGGATTTTTTAGGTGAGACACAGCGTGCGCTGAACTGAGCCCACCCTTTAATCCTGAGGTTCATCTGCCGGGGCCGAGCAAGCTTGGACAGTGGCAGTGAGGGTCTCAGAACGTAGGTTTGTTTAGAGTGACCTTCTCTTAGATGGATTGCCTTACAAGGCTGACGAGGGCGAGCTCCATCTGCCCGGGGGGCTGGGAATCGAACCCGGGTCGCAGCGGTGAGAGTCCTGCACCCTAACCACTAGACCACCAGGGGCCCCTACACGCTATTAGGGAAAAACTAAAATACAATAGAATAAAATAAAAATTATATACTTTTGTAAAAACTCCTCCACTTTCTTTTGGCTGTTTTTTGTTACCCCAGGCGCCTCTTCCCAGAGCCGCACCACAAGAAAGGATTGCCCTGGGTCCGCTCTCATTTTAAAATGCTTCTTTTTATTTCAGTGGTTGTACATTGGGTGAATGAATTTAACGTCACAACAGAAATAAAATGGCTATTTAACAGACCACTAGTAATTATATATGCTGAAAAAGAGCGAATGAAGGGGTTTCTTTTAACTATTACCGAAATATTCATTGTACATGTCATCAATTATGCCGGATGAGAGAGGCAAACAAAAAGGTATTTTGGTGAGGTGTTGTATCCTTTGAAGAAAATAAACACTGAGACATCTCAAGTTACTTGAAACCATGTCTCAGCTACAGTATTCACTGTCTCCGTGTTGGCCCATCTCATGGTTCTTTTAGGGGGTTATATTTGTTGTATTTTTTTTAATTAAACAAAGCATTTAAAATTTAATAATTTTCATTAGACTTTTTTTTTAAAATATAAACAAAGTTTTGGCAAATAATATTTATACAGAAAAATAGTTTTAGATCTTCCCAAATTTTGAAATAGTCTATAAAATTACTTTATAAATAAATAAAATGCAGAATCTGTTGTACACGTATTTGCACATCTCTGTAATTGCCTCCTTACTGTTAGCATAGGTTTGTACTTGTACAGTTTTCAGGAATATTACAAAGTCATAAAGTCGGAAAGTGGATCTCTTATTAAAAATACATTTTCTCTTTTGTCTGTCAGTTTATCTGGATGAAAGACCTGATGTATCTGAAGCTTCGTCATCCATGGGCAAAAAATATTGGATTAATTGTAAAAAACATAGATTAACAGTTATTTTGAAACATAAAAAGTTCACACAAAATGATGTCTTGAAGAGTTATCTACATAAAATATTTAAACAACATGGATAATTTACCATTTAGTATTATACAATAAGCTACCCAAATGCCTAAATTAACTATTATAAAAAAATAAAAACAACTTTGACAGATATAGGCAAGTTGCAGTGTCAACTACCTAGTTATAAGGACTGAGAAAGTCTACAAATATTAGTGTTTTAATAGTATATAATGGTGATACCTTAACTGCTAAAGTAACAAGTTAAGATACATTATTTTTCCACAAATTAGAACTAACGCAACGTTACAAGCACTATGTTAATTTTACAACCGAATTATGATTATTTTTTTTCTTTCGGATGATCAAATCTCCAGCTTTATATATAAATAGATAGTAATTAAGATATCGGACAAACAAGATTTAGCCTGGAAAATAATTTCCTAGACAAATAATAATATGGTTAGTGCCTTCAGTCGTTCAGAACAGGCAGTGCTGCCAAAGTTTAAAATAGTTTACAATCAATCTGAAGAGGTTAAGTTAAAATACTGCAATCACTAATAATGTCCACATAGAAAACTTATGCTGCAAACAATTATACATAATATCCACTTATAACAGCTGTCTTGTTTTTTAAACAATAATTTAAAAACTATGTCATTTATGTGATACATGTGCAACATATAAAATGTGAAATATGAAATATTTGGTACAATAGTGCTTGAAACAAATCTCAAATCAAACAAATGAAAGTTTAATTATACATATATAATTACCTTGTAAATCAACAAAGTATTTAAAAAAGTAAACAACATTAAAATCTGCTTCATCCATATATATGTATGTATGTATATATAACATGTATATAATTGTATTAAAGATATCTTCATACTTTTGTGACATAAAATATGTTTTTAAAGAAAAACAATTAGAAGAACTATTTTTTCTCCACTCTAATCTGGTTACAATCTTATAATCCAATTAAAAAAATGCAAATACAGTAATGATTTATTAAACTGAATCTCATTCTACATTCTTAGTGTTCAGTTAATAGCCTAGATTAAAGTCACCTATGAAGTTTCAGTGACTCAACTGAAATGTAATTAAATTAGAGTATCATACAATCTCATCTACAGCCTTCTTTTTCACCTTTTCTTTTGTTAGTTTGGTCTTGTTTTGTTTTGCTTGATTTTACACTTCTAGAAGTTACTTCTTAACAGCTTGGATCTTTTTGGTAACCTGACTATGAGTTTCAAAGATTATTCATGTCCAGTGAGATTTGACTGTTGGCATCAGGCTCACTTTCATCAAGTCTGATGTGACAAAATTTAGGCACTTCTGCAAAGTCTCTTTTAAAAACATTATAAATATACTTGTAAAATAATATTCTCAAGACTTTGTTCTTTTGGGGATTGAAAGGGGTATGAAGGTTCATACTGTGCAAATTTTTTTAAATTTTCTTCTGCTATTCTGCTATGATTCAAATGCAACTTCTCCATACAAGTCAAACACCAACCATGTGCATCTAAAGAATTTGTGCTTTCCTTTGGACTTCTTGCTAAAAATATCAGATTGACAGGATGATGTGCAGGACACTGGGCTGCGTTTCACTTCCTCTGTCTTGGAATCAACTCACCAGGGGAGCAAAACCAAGATTTTTTTTTTAACTGAGAAGAAAATCCGCAATCATAGTTTGGGTGAAAATTAAACCTGCAACTGGGGTAAGTTTTTAGCCAATACAATGCAATTATTGCTGAGCTCGAAAGATTCATAAGCACTGAATCTCATGAGACAAACTTATCTGGACCATTTCCGTTAGTTGTAGTTATGGAGAAAAGACAATATTTGCAAGAATTAAACTATGCTTAGAAAACCTTTAAAACTAAATGTTACCCTTTATGTCTTGAAACATCACAGCTGGTATCAGGTAGTTAACTATTTTAGGTTGGAGTATAGTAAGCATACCATATTTAATATTCATATATGACATAGCAGCACTAGCTTTTTTGAGTTTTTGATTTGTCCATAAGAACAAATTCTTGACTTAGCATGCAGTTTGTGGCAACTCTAGAGAGGAGGAGACAGGGTAGTATGTACAGTAGCCGTGCTTGGCCGTCCGCAGGGAGGCTTCGTGACACTCTGTTCCGCTCCTGCTGGCTATTTCAGGATTATCTGTTAAGAGAAAGGAAAGCGTGATCGCGCTTTTAGGGGACACGGGGAGTGCAGTTTGCCCAGATGGCCAGTGTTGGACTAACTAAGCTCAGGTGCAGCTCACACAGGACAGCATCCTCTATTCTCATGCTGCCTGGGAGGCGCTTGCATTTCACAAACCTAGTCATCTTCCCCTGCACATTGGTCCGCACGTGCGTAAGAACATGCAGAGGGGGCATTTTATGTGTCAAAATACCGGAGGCAGTGCTGAAGCCACAAAAGAAGGGCCTGGCCATAGGCAGGGTATGCATCATCAGCACCCTGGCTATCAGTGGAGGTGGAAGCAGCCCTGTGCCTCCCAAAGAAGCTCAGAAGTGCACCATTGCCCGGGGCAATTCTCCAACTCCTACCATGCTCCCAGAAAGACAGAAAATGACTGGCAAAACAGTGGAGGCAGGGCCCCTCACCACTAACAAGCAAAAAGATCTCAGAATCATAGAATCAACCGGGTTGGAAAAGACCTCTGAGATCATAGAGTCCAACCCTTGATCCAACACCACCCTGTCAACTAGATCATGGCACTAAGTGCCACATCTCTTCTTAAATACGTCCACGGATGGTGACTCCACCACCTCCCTGGGCAGCCCATTCCAATGTCTAGATGTACTAGACTAGATGTTTTCACAAAGCTAAAGTGTCTTTTCAATGCATTTTTAGCAGTTGCTTATTTCCTAAAAAAATTATCTTCAGATCAGAGAACTTGAGAGGTTTTCTCACACTTCCTTATGCCAGAGAATCCAGGGGATGACCATAATGGTACTTCTATTTGCCTAACTAGTCACTAACCTTGCCGCTTTACCTCCATGGTGTCACAAACAGAGAGTGGAGCAACCATTTTACAGGTGTAAATTCTTGTGTTTCCAACATTGTGAAGGTTCAATGCATGATGGGCCCAGCAACCAACTCCACTTGCTCACAGTATTGGAAAATCATCCAGATTTCCATCACCTGCCTGGAATGTCTGTCAGTGAAAGTGATATCAAAAGCCAGCGGTGTGATATTTTATCACACCATTGCTAACTTGTGCTCCAGACTTAAGCACAAGTCAAGAAATTAAGAGTGTATTGCCTGCTCTTACTGTTTAATTTGGCACTCGATGCATTTTTAAGCTGTATTTGTAGGTGGTATGCAAAGCAGTCATGACAGTACTTTGACCTACTTGTGCATTACAAAGCTAGATCACTGCTTAATGCAATATTTATATTAAAAGGGGGGAAAATAAAAAGGTGTTTTGAAAGTAACTTCAGCAACATACTACCTCTGACATACAGACCTCCAAAAAGAAACAGGTTTGCCTCTGTGCAAGGCACTCGTTCTAGTCCCCTGCCCAGTCAACCTCCCTACACCTCACAACTCCACTGCCTTGCTCTCTGTACACAACTGCTGTCTCTCTGACCCTGCTGAACTTGCCAGCATGCCAAAAAGCCATCTTTGATTACCATCAGCACTGAAAATCTGGTGACACGCGAGGACCCATTGTAATGACACGGTACAAACACCTGCTGCTCCAAAGGGCTTAACATCTAAATACATCATTCACACAACAAGGACATATATTTTTAATGAACTTCCACCCATTGTAAGCTTGTTAGCTTATCGCCTATCTTCTGTTTCCTATTGAAATAACAAAGAAATACCTTCGCTCAAATAATAAAGCCCTGTCTGTGGTAACTCTTGTCCAGCTCCAGCACGGTGGTTTGACAGTACGTACAAGGAACGCAGCCGTGCTGAAAATAAGAAGTGACCAAGATTTTCAGGACTGATATTTTTAGCATGTTACAACCCAACATGTCAATGTAATTAATAAAGCAGCTTTAGCTATACTGGGTTAGCCATAATCACACAAGTGTATTTAAAGGTTCCTAAGGTCTCATTTAATGGGACATAACCTGAAACCTACTCAGTGTAAAAAGCCCCAGAATTTCAGACACTGCAGCTGACTACACTGTCTGCCAACTTTTGAGGGGATAAACTTGCATTTTCCTATAGCTTTTCTTCTCCCTATACAGGGAGACAGATAACTGCCCCTTATCCCAAGACTTCTTTGGTCAAATAGTCCCACAAGACTGATGTTCCCAATTCCCCCAAAATCTGTGACAGAGAATGCAGAGGGCCTAATCTCAAGCTGTTTCATGGGAAAATGGCAGGACTATTCCTGGCACTGTGATTAACCCAAGTGCCACTCACCCTGCTGTGTGCAAGGCAAGACAGAGGGGTCCTGGGCAGTGTGAAAGAGCAGGGATCCCTTCTCTTCCCTGCCCTGGTGAGTGGCAGTGGCAAAGCCCAGGATAGGGACTTCACTGCTTTGTCCCTATTTCTGCTGTTTCTCTCCTCCTGTCAAAACTCAGGAAACAGCAAAGATGATGTAAACACTTTCCTTTTGTGTGCGAGCATGTCCTGTTTATGGGTTGTAGGTGCCAGAGAAGCAGCTGGAGCCCTCACTGCCATGCTTCTCCCCCTGCCAGCGGCTACAGATCTGGCTTGTTCCCACCACATAGTCCTCGACAGGGGATGTAACTAGGGCATGTTGCACCCGACTATTTCTAGTACACGTAGGAGTCCTCCTAGGAAAAAAGCCTCAAGTCTCTCCTTCAGAACAAGCTTCTCCAGTGCAGTCACAGAACTGAGGAGCTACATTACTTTTTTAACCTTAGCCACAAAGTGTAAAACATCTCCCATAGTCTTTAATTATATGTTCACACCCTACTTCTTAAAAGATATCACAACTCTGCCATAGCTACATACACAGGCATCAGCTTCTGCAACTGTGTCTGACAGAGAAACATAAAATGCTAAACTACTTTACATGAAAACACATTGGAACCTCTTCTGTTTAATCTACAAACAAAGTAATAAACTGTGATGGAAGACAGAGGCTATCTAAGTCTGCATCGCTGCTAATTGCTGCATCACTTGCATGCTGAAAAAGAAGAAGCTGTAAAGAATTATACCAGTGAAGGAACATGCCTGCAAACACTTACTACAGAGTCTGCATTCCCTCGTTACTTGTAAGTAGGTTCAACCATCTTCATGTTCACTATGCTTTGAAGAATTACATCTCAAATGTATGTATGTCATATTTGCCATACTATTATATCATTATACTCCACAGCAACGGGATATAATGTATTGACACTTTTACCATAGTATATATAAGCATAAACCCCTAAAAAACAAGACTATACAATGAGTGTGCATTGTTCCACGTACAAAGGTCTACAGGTCAAGCATGGGAAAGCATTTTCTCATGCTCTGTAAGATCCACAGGTGTGGATACAGACGTGCCAGAAAACATACCTTCTGCTGCTGCACTGAGATCTCTAATAAGAACACTATTTCCAGCATAAGCAGAATGGCCTGGCTCTTACAGTCTGCAGCAGTAATGCACAGAAGATTTAATAACAGGAAATGGCATTTTTTGGAGGTAATCACAGATATAGGGTACCTTCTCTGTTGCCTTCTTGCTTGGTACCTGTTTAAAGTGGCAGAAAGCTGGCTACCCTTTAGACTAAAATTACTAAAATTGTGCCAGTGATAGTTACCAGACCTCACTGAAACTAGTAACACATAGAGTGAACCTAAATTTCTGCAAGCCACCAAGAAGCATTTGCTCTTCCAAGTTTTCCATCTCTTTAGAGGTGGCATTTTCAGCTCCTAAATGCCAAGACTTTCTTTTCTTGTCTACCAGAGCATGGCTCTTTTAAACCTTTACCTTCAGGACATCTGAGGGATCACACTGGTCATTAAGCCCCCTGTGCAACACAGAAAATCCCTAAATCCAGATAGGATTGCTCCTAAGGATGGTAACAATTCTGCAGTGTCATCCAGGGGAATGACAACCAAGAGAGATGTTACTGCCAATGGTTTCAGCTTCTCACTGACTACCAGCACATGGTAGTCAGCAGACAAATCTATGTCAGCTTGGGATTTCCTCAGATGCACCAAAGGTGGCTGTGATCAGTCATTGACTCAAGACTTAAAAAGTAAAATTGAGAGTCTGTTAAATTAAGGTGGAAATTCCACCTTTGTAAACTCTTTTTGATGCCCGGGTTACTGCTTTATTTTATAACAGTTCATTGAATTAACCAAATTACTGAGAATCATGACTAGGTACTAGGAATTTCAAGAACAGTGTTTGGCTTGAGATTTTCTGCTTTGAAGCTACAATTCACAAAGCTTTATTCTCTCTGAGTTAAATTCATTTTCCAGTTCCAGATTTATTATACAACGATGAATACAGAAAATTTACCATTCTGCATGAATCACTGTGCATGAACTCTTGTTCAACTAAAGACCTGTCACAGTGGATCAGCCAGAAAACATGACTTTGCATCTACCTCTGACACATTTCTCTTTCAGAAGTTTTGAAATTATTACTCTAAATCACACTGTGCTCTATAAGCCTTAATATATTTTAAGGGGCATTAAGATTGTATTTGACCTCTGCATTGCAAAGCACTTATCCCTCCAAAAATACATAGTAAACATTTTGGACTGCTCAGCCTTCCATTTTAAAAGCAGTGTAGTAGTAATAGGAGTTTCTTGTAGACAAGATTCATCTCAGATGATTTCAGACATGAATGCCTCAGCTGGTCACCCATTTTACATCTTCCTAGCCTACCTCAGCCAATTGATTTTAGCATGAGACAGATTATCAGCTCCTGGTGCCATTTTCCCCTCCACCGAATGTAAGAGTTTGTGGTGAACAGTTCACACTGAGGTATTTAACTTTTGGACACCTGCATCGGGACAGATGAATCCTTCCACAGTGACATTTTCTGTTCTCATGTTTTTCACACAAGTAGCAGACTGGTCAGATATATCTGGGGTATACATTAAAAACAACAGATATTTTCAGACAGCCGCCTCATATCAGGCTGCCTCATAACTTCTCCTGCTTTCTAAAAATAAATCTAACACCAAGTATTTCTTCCCTGTGACATGGAACCGAAGACTATTTA